CAGGCGCCTTACGTTGGAATACATCAGCTACAACTATAGTTAATTCATCACAAATATTAGGACCTAGTGGAATATATATTAATTCAAATAATACATTGTTTATAGTAGATGAATATCCTAATGAAGTTGTACGACGACTATTAAGTAATGCTGTAAGTGTTACTAATGTAGCTGGACAATATCAATCAGGTGGTTCTAGTTCTACTCAATTCAATTATCCTCAAGATGTTTATGTTGATGCAAGAGGAAATATGTATGTATCTGATTTTTATAATTGTCGAATACAAAAATTTACTAATGGATCATCAAATGGTACAACAATTGCTGGTATAACTGGCTCAGCTGGATCTGCATTCTCACAATTTAATGGCCTTCGATATTTTACTGTTGATCCAACTGATACATATATATATGCTACGGATTACTTTAATCATCGTATTATGCGTTATTCAACAAGTTCAACATTACTAATGGGGTTCTTATGGCTGGTAATAATGGAGCTGGTAATTCAAATACAACATTAAATAATCCATGGGGTATTCATTATTTGCCATCTGTAAGCAATGATTTATTTATAACAAATTATAATGGACATTCAGTAATGCGTTGGACACCTGGCGCATCATCAGGCTATTTTGTAGCTGGAGTACCAGGTGTATCAGGTCAAACTTCTATGTTACTTAGCTATCCAATAGGTATTAAAATTGATACTTATCTAAACATATATGTTGTTGATAATAACAATCATCGAATACAAATGTTTTGTACTAATAATCAATCTTGAATTACTATTGCAGGAACAGGTATAGCTGGTAATACTGCTACACAATTGAATTCACCAAGAGGTATTGCATTTGATTCAGCCATGAATCTTTATGTTTCTGATACAGGAAATGGTCGCATTCAAAAGTTTCTTAAACTTTAAGCTTTTAGACATAGTTTATGAACGATATGACTGAGTTATTTTTTTTCTTGTGTAAAATTTTACTCTATAAGCACCTTTTACCATTATCATCATTTTCTTAGATTCATTTTAGTGTCACAATATTTTTATTGAATTCATTTTGTTTATTTTTTCCTAATATTATAAGCATGAAAATAAAGAATTACCCTTTCAAAAATAATTCGAGTTTTGATACGAAATAATATGCATAAGAACACAATGTATTTCGTCTCATTTATGTTCTTTTATTTCGAAATATCAATGCATTGTTGATTATGATTAAAAATGGCTTTCTTTTTCTACACTGTTCTCTTCTTAATATTGTAGCTGATAGCATTTTTTGTAGAAGCAAATATATATGTCATAACTTCACATTTTCATCATTCATAGATGAAATAGAAGGATGTGGGTATGGGTGTGATTTAGAATAATCGCCGTTCCAGGACAACAGTTGCTTCTGTCTTGTCAGGACTTCTTCAGGTGGGGTCCTTAATATAGTTTTCTGAGAAGAATTCTTTTTCTGATTTTGTAGTTATATATTTGGTTATAGAGTCAATATTTATGTTGCCCTGGTTGTTTCTGGATCGTTTTGCTCTGAAATTTTTTCCTGTGCTATATCGTTATATGCGTTTTTCCACTATCTCTGTGATCGGTGATTAATGGTTAGTAATTGATGTACAACTGTGCTTTCCTATGATGCTGGTGGTAGATATGTTGGTTTTTCCTGGAATTACTGATATGTGCTTTTATGTTGGATTTTTTTATGTGAGTGTAAGTTTATGTGAGAGCTATGATTTTAAACGTGGTACATTCGATAGGTTGGGTGTGGGTGTGGGGTGTGGGTGTGGGATGTGGGTATGGGTGTGAGTGTGGGTGTGGGTGTGGGTGTGGGATGTGGGTGGGGTGTGAGTGTGGGTGGGGTGCGGATGTGGGTGTGGGTGGGGTGTGGCTGGGTATGGGTACGGGTGTGGGTGTGTGTGGCTATGGGTGTGGGTGTGTGGGTGTGGGTGTGGGCCACACCCACACCCTCATGCTATGTATGATTCAGGGTTGGCTTAAGTACTCAGATGAATCGTCATGGATTTTACGAAAGATGGTAGTTTTTCTCTATGGGTTTTTTTGATTTTTGCGCTTTTTTTTGCGTACAGTTGAGTGTTTCGTAGGATCTGATGACACCATGAGATAGAGCTCGTTGAGTTGTAGGTGGCTTACTAGTTTTCTTTTGTGGCTTAGTCTCTCATGCGAATCGTCGTGGAAAATACTCGAATCGGCTGCTAACTTTCCTTACATAAAAAAGTATGTATCGAAGGTTGATTGGTGGCTGTCGTTCTGCCCGGAATCACCATTAATTTACACAATTGGCCCTTGGTTAAATTTTGTTTGTATTTTTCAATGTCAGTTTGAGGAGACCATTGGTCGACCAGTAATAGAAATCTATTGCTTGTTACGTTGTCGAGAACTTCTTTGATCCAGTACTCGATCAATGAACCATTTAACTTTCCGGATTGGCTACAAGTGAGAACAACGTTGTTTGGTGAAAACGTACTTTTTCCCTGTGGGAATCGACCTGAAGCCTCTTGAAGGCAGATCAAAACAGGGCTGAGAAGTTCACCTGCATCTGTGATAACAGGCATCACAGTGTAAGAATGAGTTGTCGCATTCAATGATCGTACTAAAGTATTGGTATTTTTTTCTCCACTAAAAGATAATGTACGATTCGAAACCAACTCATAGTTGAAACGGCTCTGGTCGGCGTTGAGTACAGAGTTTAACGTATATTTCGGTATCAATTTCTTCGCCTCTTAAGTGAACTTTTCAGCGTTCTGGCTTATCTGCATCTTGTCAATATTTTCACGCGTCGACACGAATTTCGTGATTTTCCGTGACGAGATTCCGTTCCGTTGTTTGAAGTTGAGAAGCCAATGAGCGCTGGCCTTGAAATTATCGAAATCTTCGTTTTTGGCTTGTGTTCGAGCCCATCGACGAATGTCCAAATCGTGAACAGGGAGACATTCTTGTCGTGCATGTTGAAATTTGTTGATTATAAAGGTTTCGATACGTTGTAATTTGTGGAAACGATTCCCGTTTCTATCAACATAATCTCGAAATCGTTTTAACTGTTTTTGATCTTTAACGCGAGGAAACGCATGCTGGATTGTCGTGAAGGAAATTCCTGGACGAGCATAATCAACCACCTTTTTCATATACTCTAATGAGTAGGTACCATATTCTGTATCAGAAATGAATTCGTCTGGCATAGCTTGAATTTCTTCAGAATGATCAGATTCATCATCGGCTATTTCCAGATATTCCTCGGTCTCGATATCATAATCATCACTAATTGAAAGATCTTTTAATAAATCAACCAGACGATTTGCAATAAGCTGTTCTTGTTCACTAACCGCCAAAGATTGAACATTGTGTTTCAAAGAAACTTTCTCGTGCATGAGCCTGATTATATTGGCTGCATTTATCATTATGAAATGTAAATTACGGATCAAGAGAAAACAGAAAGATGCAATAGTTTTCCGCAAGGAAATTAAGCAATAGAACAATCAAAAATTACCCAGATTTTTCGTGTTCAGTCATTGGTCCAGAAGAAATCGTCAATTGAAAACGAATACGATAGAGTGTATTCGTCGTCAAGCTCACTTGTGGGCACCGTTTAAGGGAAAATATGGACACCATTGTAGAGGCACATGGAATCATTTAATGGCGACTGGTTTAGCACAAAAATCTAGCCATAAATAGAATATATGGACTTTTGAAAAATAGAATTATGTATTATTACTTCTGTTTTTATCATAATATATTCATTTTTGAGATTTTTGAGATTACATTTAAATGTTCAACTTGTTCTACCAATTTACTCCTGTGTTTTGATTGAGATATTTGTTCAGTGCCGAATTTAAGTTATCCTATGAGATAAGTCGACTTGTCTCATGAGATAACTCGAAATATTAAGAATAACTTGCTCAAACATACGAGGCGACTTATCTCATAGGGTAAGTCGAGTTATCTCATAGAAGAAGTCAGAATACTAATTGAGTGAGTAAAAATATTTCAGTTAAAAGAAGCGACTTATCCTATGAGATAAGTCGACTTATTCTATGAGATAACTCGACTTATTCTATGAGATAACTCGACTCTTGTGGCTGAACTACTTTTTTCCAGTATTTCGAGTTATCCTATGAGACAAGTCGACTTACCCTATAGGATAAGTCAAAATACCAAGTGAACAAGTATAAATGTCTTAATTGAAAGTAGTGACTAATGCTATAGGATAAGTTGGCTTGTCTCATAGGATAACCCGAATTCTTTGCAAAATGGAATGTCTCGATAACAAGCTACATCTGTTTAAATTTATAAAAAATTCTGTACTATTTTTTTTTTCAATTATTGACATATTTTAAGAGTAATTTAATACAACAAGATGTGTTTCAATTCATGTAACCAATCAGATTTACCATGTGTGCCTATATAATGGTGTCCATATTTTCCCTTAAACGGTTGTTTCCCTTAAACGGTGACTACACTCACTAGTACACTACAGTTAGTTTGCCGCTGCTTTTATCTTGCACAGTAGTCTTGAAAGTTAAAACGGATAAAATCAAGAATCGACTTAATGAATGACAGAAAACGCGAGAACGTGATACTTTTAGCATGGTTCTATGTCATGGGATTCCATATTAATAGCAAGATAATAAGACATGTTTCTCTGAGATGATTCTCTTCGTAAAAATTGTTTGCAATGACTTTGGCGTTCTATCATGATTTTCTCGACCTATTGATGTCTCAATGTTAAAGAAGAGATGAATACGTTCAATTTGATCTATTACTAGCTAGTCCTTCATCGAAATAATCAGTCATCTCGATCAAATAAATCATTCTGAATCATGAATCTTATTTAGTTCGCATTGTAATAAGAAGAATTTTCCTGTGATTTTCGTATATGTAGGGTTGTCGCAACTCTTCAAAAGATGATCATGGGGATGAACGCATTTAACCGTGAACTACACTCATTGAGTACTACAAGATGGCCTTAGTCTCCCTTAATAAGTCGCGTGGCACTTGGGGATGTTCCCTCGTTAGACCGAATATTAAAAAACATGTTGAACTCTAGTTTTCGTAAAATACAACAAGCTGTCATAGATAAGTTTCGGTTTCTATAAGACTATTTACATGTGAAGTTACAAGCAATATAATATTCACTAATGCCATGCTTCTATTTGAAAATAGATTGTCCTACTGGCTACAGCGTATCATTCTGCAAGATTACGGCTAATCCGAACAAACAGTATTACGGTCGAGGTTGGTTCCAGCTCACGTACCCATGTAATTATTATCGAGCGGGTTTAGCTCTTGCGGTTGATCTTCTGAATAATCCGGACTTTGTTGACCAAGATCCTATTCGAGCAGTGACAACAGCACTATGGTTCTACACTGCGAATAATATGATCACATACGCTCAGCAAGGTGATTTTGCAAAGACAACATACATTATCAACCGGCCAGAGTGTAACAATGGGTCAAGTTCAATTTATCAAGCGAAACGAGTAGATACGTACAAACGTATCCGTTTGTGCTTTAGACTCGGAGCGCCTACCAAGAATCCTACGTGCTAGACTCTCATGCTATGCTTCGCCATAATGAATGACATTCTTGTTTTTCTTTCGATAATTCATCAATCTTTTTTTTCTTATTCTAAATAAAATCGAACTGTACAGCAGCAACATTTCGTTATGTCCTAGCGGTCTTTGTTTCACTGGAAAACCTGTGTGTGGGTGTTGTTTTCGAAGAGAAATTCCAACCTAATTACGACTGGTTTAGTCCTTGCCTAAGGAACTCATCAGGGAAATTTGGAATTAAAATAAATCGCATAGAATTAAATTCAATCTCAAAGGAAAAAAAAATTATAAGAGCCAAAGATGAAGCATCTAAGACTCTCAACAATAATCTAATGTTGAAATGAAATTTAACAAATTTCTGTAGAATTTATCGAGTGGGTAGATGAAGTAATGACTTAGAATGATTGGGGGTGTGGGTGTGTGTGGGTGGGTGTATATGAAAAAAAGACTCACACTGACATCCACACCCGCACTCATAAACATCTGCATGTTCATCGAAAACAACTCTATGCATAATTCGACTTTCAGATTTTTGCTGTAAAATAAGTGTATCTCGTACATGAATATTTTTACGCAACTGCTTATGATTCAGACGAACTATTTTACATCAATATTTTTTTATTACGAATGTCTGAATATTATCATTACAATTAATTTAACAAGGCTTTTTTCTCTTTTTTGTGTCAACTATGCACATTATATACTAACAGGCTCATCTGAAAAGATGCACATAAATCGGAAAAAGAAATATGAAAGAACAAGTATGATAAACAAATAGATCGTTCGGGAAATGATTAAAAGAATCAAAACCTTCTTTCTGAAAAGTCTATTTTTAAAAATATTTACTTGTAATCTGATTGTACACCTCTGAGACAATTAATATTTCTGTTCAGAATCTAAATCTCTGTCTAATGGTGCAATTTTCATTGTATCTACATGAGACAAAATATTTCAAAGCAGTTAATAGGACTTCATTATGTTGCGTGATTTCATAATGATCTGTTTACTTTCCTAGGGAAAAATAGGCTGTGGGTGTGAATGTTATATCTTCGTCGACATCCTCATACTCACATCCACACCCTATTCGATTTGTTTATTCTCGTTGTGAAAGGTTCATGAAAACAATTTCTTTGTTACAGATTCGAGGTGCTTTTTACACTTTTGTACATAATGGTGATTGGCCGGTGGCACTCTTTGAAAGATTTCAAGTGCTTTTTCGTGACACGATAATGCTCTCGAGTAATCGTTCATCTAATAATACACGTCACCGATACTGTCATAGGTAATACCCAATGAAAGATGATTTGGGGGAAGAGTCTTTTCCCGAATTTCAAGTGCTTTCTCGTGAAATGATAAAGCTTTTGAGTACTCTCCTATTCTACTATATACTCCGCCCATATTGCTGTAAAGTGGAGCCATGTAGGGATGATAAGAAGGGAATGCTTTTTGCCAGATGCCATGTGCTTTTTCGTAAAAAAGAAGTGCATTCGAGTACTGTTTCATGTTGGCATATACGAAACCGATATTAGTGTAGGTAATAGCCAAATTTGAATGATTCGTAGAAAGATGTTTTTGTTGAATCTCAAGCGCATCATTGTAAAACGTATGGCCTTTCAAGTTCTCTCCGAGTTTCTTATATAGACAGCCGATGTCGCTGTAAGAAATAGTCAAATGAGGATGATCGGGAGGAAAAGTTTTCTGTCGAATTTCCAGTTTTTTTCTCGCAGAACGAGAGAGCTTTCGTATACTCTCCCATCTTAACATACAAAGCACATGTTACTGTAGATTGTAGCTAAATCCGGATGATTCTGAGGAACAGTTTTTTGGAGAATTTCTAGTGCTTTTATAGAAAATGAAAGTGCAGTAGAGTATTTGCCCATACTGTAATACACTCCACCTATGTTGCCGTAAGAGCTAGCCAAAGGGGAGTCATTTGGAGAAAAAAATTTTCCAAGTATTTCCAGAGATTTTCGATGAAAAGTAAGTGCTCTTGAGTATTCTCCTTTACGTTCGTATACCAAACCGAGATTGCGATAGACACCAGCAATAACTGGGTCATTTGAAGAAAGTCGCTTATCATCGATTCCGAGTGAGTTTTCCAAACATGACATAATGCTCTCATTCGTTTCGAGTGCTGTTTCCAAAAAAATAATGGCCTCTCCATGATCACCTTGAGCACTTTTAATCAGTCCAAGATCATTATACAAGCGAGCCCTCTGCTTCTCATCGGATGTCTGCGCAAGCATTGCTCTGTACAGTTCTTCGGCTTTGTCGAACTCACATATTTTAACTAAGAGGTTTCCTATTCGTTTCCAACCTGTTGAATCATTGGTCTCGTCTCGTATTCGATTGGTGAGAGAACGAAGCTGTTGATCGTCTTCGCCGGTCAACATGAGTTTTACGTCATAAAGTCGATTCTTGTTACTAATTTGCATTATTTCACCGATGCGAAATACTGCGTGCATAGAAAAGAGAAGTTCTTCCTCTTCGCTGAAGCTGCTGATGTGATTGATAAAAGCATAGGGTGTTGAATGAATCGACGGATCAATAGTAATTTCGAATAAAACTCCTATCATGTTGCGATTGTGATGATTGCTATCAGCAAAGAGAAATGATACCTTATGATTTTTCCTGGTAGATAGAAAATTGTTAAATGACGTTAATTCACCTTTCTCATTTGTGTCAGCTTTTCAAATTTAAATATTGATACTCCTTGTCCTCGATAGACAGTGAATATCGGTAGTTGCCGGCTGCCGAATTGTTCATGATGTAATTGTTCAATCTGATTATGCAGGTCACGAATAAAGAATCCCATTTTAATGATAATATCGGATTCAAGAGTACGTAATGCTCGATTGAGCAACTGATAAATAAATGGTTTCCGAGTGTACCATGAGATGGACGCCTGTGGTCTATATTCACGTTCGAATTTCATTAGAATATTCGACTGATGATCATTATTCTTGTATTGTTCACGGCAGTAGAGAATGAAGTCTTCTATAGATTTTTTATCATATTTCATTTCTAGTAAAATTTCTTTAAAAATCTGAGTGTACAAGAATGATGGTTCCAATTCATTCAACTTTTTATGTAAGTCATTGGTTGAGACAAAGCTAATTGAAATAGAATTTTGTGCACATTTTCGAACGATCTCCTTAAATTCTTCACGAACCAATGTAATTTGTGTATGAATACCTTTCACTTTTGACCATTCTTTCATCCAATATTCATTTGTAGATTCATTATCACAGACAATGTAAATACCATAAATTTGAGATATATCGTAAATAAGTGGTATAATATGCTTCTCGATGGTACCAAAGATTATCACAAATACATTCTCATCTTTTATATCTGTGAGAAAGTCGATGCATTGATCAGTATCAGTGAAAATGTTAATAGTGTTGACAATGGATCGTACTTGTTCAAGATTAGTTGGACAATCGCTGTTTAATCTATCAGAATTAGAACTTAACCAGATCAGACGGAAGTCTGCTGCCATTCGATGTTTGGGATAGATGTTATCTGAAATCTTGTCGTTGCAGTCACTCTTTTACAAGATATATGTACATGTATATGCTTTGTTTTGGCTTTTCTTCGTCATGTTATTCTAAAGACAAGTTGATGTGATTGTATAGCTTTTGGCATAAACTGGTGAGTGTAAAATGTTGTTGAAAGGAATACATTGATTTCTCTATTTATATGTCGACAACTTCCTTTCTCTTTCTTTCTTACAGAATCATTGTGTTTTATGTTGCTACCTGAAGAGAAATTCCAATTAGTTTCTATTGAAAATGCTACCAAACAAAAAAACGAAAAAAAAAATGGCCGGCAGCATCAGAACGAACGAAGAAAGTAGCAGTCCGTTTCTATTGCGATCATTTTCTTTGACTTTCTCTTGGTCTATACTTGTACAAGAACTATAAACACATGATTATATTCCTCAAACAGATGAATTTCTAAATGAATAATCTAGCCATTCATCGAATATTCATCATCGCTAAAATAATCGAATCAAATAGAAATAAAGCCTGTGTTTCCCGTGAACAGTTGAAAGACTATTTGACATAAATAATTCAATGCGATTCCTCATAGTTCTACTTACATCTTATTGCAAGATTGTATCGGACTTGCTATCGAATTTCTTGACTTAGATAGGGAATATACCATGCTATTAAATCTGCTGCTCAGCAGCACTTAATACCACAATATAGTCGAAAAGCAGGAGTATTCTTCATGCTTGAGGATGTGGATACTTACATCCATACTCATATCCTCGTGAATCAATAAAAGTTGAAATTATGTTAAAACCTTAAAAAATAATGTTTTATCGGTTAAGAAAAGTAATCAATCGAGAGTAAGTAGACACCTCGATGAAGTCGAACTCATTAAGAATAGCAAAGCTTTTGGATAATCTACTTTGTACATAATCTATTTCGTCATCAATCAAAGCATACTATGGTTGTTTTTATCGTAGAGAATCAATGTACACGATATTTCTGTTCATGAATATAACCATGATTTCAAATCTGGTCGCCGAGCAAGACTTTCAATCGTATAGGCACCTGCTTGAATCATTTTCTCATAACCAAATATGTTGATATTCTGAATTGTATCGCATGCCTTGTGATAACATAAATCAAGATCGACATTGACCATACCACATTGACCTGGACCAAGAAATTGATCATAACGATCACACTGTTCTTGTGTTTTTATTTCATCTGAACCAGAATAAAGACCACCAACAGGTATACCATGGTTTAAAAATGGAGCATAATCACTACCATAACCGAAGTCAACAAAATCCCAAGGCAAACCTTGTCGAATAAACCAATCACGAAATATCTCTGAAATTTTATAACTACCGATAATGGCCGATGGTGCAGTGTCATTTCTTGCTGTTCGACCATCATAAGTACCAAACATTAAATTTGGTGAACCTAGCATATCAAAATTGAGATATGCCACATAGTCAGTCAGACGTTCACCAACAACGGTCGAATTTCGAGCTTGTGCAACATGAAAATTCGAACCGAGAATACCAATTTCTTCGGCACCCCACCAACAAAATCGGAGACGATACTTATATTTGGCATAAGTAGGTGTTTGAAAGAGACGTGCCAGAGCTACGGTCCAGGCAAGATTAGCTGCACTACCGCTACCTAGAATGAAATCTGTATATTCAATATTTCTATACAATATTTCAAATTCACCATTGTCGTTGATGCCGGGTCCCGCATGCACACTATCACTATGACTACCAACTATAATTGTCTGAGTAGCATCGCCAGTGGGTGTATCAGCACATATATTTCCAACCGGAAATGGTTCATCGTTGATTAGAATTATAGTGATACGAACACTGGCATTTTTCGATGGATTTTTAGCTGCATTAACAAGTCTTTCTCCAAGACTGAACGAAAGCGAAAATGCTGGTATAGTATTACTTTGTGCCAGTCTTATATCCATTGGTGACATGCGGTCGGACGATGTTCCATCATTGTATAAAAGCAGCGCTGCTACATTAAACTTTGTGGCGAGCATACTTTGTTCGATAAAACTACATTCGCCCCGTTTAACTAAAGCTACACGACCTGCTACCGGTGGATTTGCTGCAATCCAATCGGCGTCCGAGCAGCCAGCATTCGGAATGACAATCATTGGAATAAAATTGGAAAAGTTAACTGACGTTGAATATCTAACTTTGAAGAACTCGGCCACACCAAGATCTTCTGAATAAGTATGATTCGTGACATTTCCGTCAATCAATGATAGAAGAATAGGATCATGTTTGAGTGTATGATCTCGTGTATGAAAAAAGCTTTTGGTAATTTTAAAATTAGTATTAATAGATAAATAGTTTGTCAAATAGTCAAGTGTATGATTGAAGCCTGATGTACCAGCAGCACGAGTTCCATTAGCAGTCATAGCAATGCGTTCTAGTTCATTGAGATGTCCCATGACTTCGTCAATTCGAATCGATTCAGCCAATATCGAATCGAGGGATTGTTTACTTCGATGTTGCTCATTACTAAGAACTGATTTCGCTGTAGATGAATGAAAATAAGTAAATTGAAATAGAAACCCTAGTAAAAAAGCTGCTACAAAATATTTTCTCATCGATAATTGAATATCAATGCTAAAGAACTGCACCCACTTGATGGTTCGACGACTGATCTAATATATTTTTTGAAAAAAAGAACGCAGACACAACAATGATTTATAGTTGATATTTACAAAGGAGATTAACAAGAAAGAAAGTTATTCTTTTTGCTTTAATCCTAATGATCATATATCGCAGTAGCTATATCTATCAGAAGGATCATTTTGAAATTAAAATGCAAGAATGGTAGAGTCGATGGTAGGGATGTTATTTAAACGTATTTACAGCTACAAAATATTATTTGAAGATCCAACAGCTGTGGATACGTCGCAAGGATTCACAATGATATTTGATTATGCTTCTTCTTGATGTCATCGTGATGGTTGTAGTGTTCTTCATAGTTTTATAAAGACGAAGAAAATGATCATTCTTAGTTCTACTTGTGCCTTGATATTCTTAGAGACAATATATATTATCTTTCAGGTTGACACATTGTCAATCACACTGAGATTTGTACTGAGAAAGCGAAAAATAGTCGAACGAAGATTGATCGATATAAAATTTAATTGAGAAATTCATAATAAAAGAATAAAAGATATTTTTTTAAACAAATGCTTCAACTCAGACGAATAAGATAAATCAACACAAAAGAAGACCGAAGATGCCATTAGAAAATGAAATTGTTTGATCCACAGATTTTCATGCAGTCATATGAAAACTTATTCTAATAGACAAATTGAACTAAGAACTCACAACCATGAAGTAAGGCTACAAACATTTATAAAACTTTGGAGATTTGAAAAGATCTCGAGTATTAAAATGATTAAATATAAACATGAGAATTTCATTGGGCAAGATTTCATGGTCGGTACATCTGTTCTATATATAGATACAAAACCCGCATGTCTTGTTATCATTGCCCCGTCGTATCATTCAAACAGAAAAAATCAAAGGCAAAATTCTGTACCATTCCTTGTTATCGGCCTTCAAATGATCAAAAACAAGACAAAATTTTTATTTACAATGTTTTTCCAGCTGACAAACTTTCAATTAGATATGCAAATGTTAAAATCCATTCATTTTTCTTTGCTCATCAAGGATATGAAAATATTTTTAGGGGAATCATTGATTGATTAGTTGTCTAAGAAAAATTTCCTTCTCTTTAACTATCAGACTAGACGAATCGGTAGCGAATTTTTTGCAAATCAATTTGAGATAATCATTATTTATATTGTCTTTCGTTAGATTTTTCCAAATAACAAGGTTATCTATGCTTCTTTAATATTCTTTTCGATAATTAAATCAATATGTCACCATAATGGTTTATCGTAGAACTGAACGTTAAACCAGCAGATTGAGAGCCATAACACGATTAAATCTATTCACCATTGAGTTCTGTTTAATTAATAAATAAATATAAAGACAATGAATTAAACTTTATATTTCCTTCTCTATTATTATACATATCATACTTCTCTTTTGAATTCCATAATTTGAGAAGACTCGATCATCTTCGAATAGTTTGCCTGCAAAAATAACTCTTTGTCTTTTCATCGGTATGAATGTTCATTTATAGATCACATACTTAATTTGAGTAACTGTGTCAATGCTTCATCAGCTTCTGAAATTCGATAAAATGAATCTATTATCAGATTATCATCCATGAATTCATATCAACATTCGAAAAAAAAAATATTCAATCAAACCAACATTAATTTCGAGATATAAAACGAATCGTTATAAACATGTTTCATGTAATATCAAGTTTATTTTGTACTGCCTCAATGACTAGTATCTTAATGAATATTCAACAACAATGAAAACTAAATCATTTTCTCTATGTAAATTTTATATAGACTATAACTTATATGGCAAACAGATATTTTGATCATAACATAGATGTTTCATTCATACAAGAATATTTCAGGATTAGCAAATATGTGCCACATTTATGAAGCTGTTTTGAAGTTATTCTTAGTATGAAATGTGATGAGATTCGTTAAAAAATACTCTATAACCCTAGACTATTTTCAATCTTCTGTCTAAAGATATTCTCAAGAGTTCTCTTCTCTAATCAAGTATTCACTGAAAATCGCATGATAATAGCCTATGATAAGTTCAACTTAGTTAATGGAAACGTCGCTCTATCTCAGAATTATACCAAATTAGAGTCTTCTATTTTTAGCAAAGTAAAGACATGTGAGGATATATTTATTAATAAAAGGATAGATATTAATGCTATAAAATAATAACAAAACCAAAAAAGTCTTATTTTCAGATCCATATGGGAAGAACAGCAATCTTTATCATTAGAATTTATTGAACTCTATTTGTAATAAAAAATATTCAACTTTAAATACTTTTTATCTACTAACGAGACTTTAAACATCTAGTATAAAGTGATATTAATCCATTCAAAAAAAAACTCACAATAAGAGTAAAGTTTATAAAAACTTTCTAAATTAGGTTATTTATTCTCTTAGTTAAATATAATTACATTCGGAAAACAAAAAGAACAAAGTTTATAGTATACAAATACTTAATTTTTGTAATTTTGCCGATTAAAAACATCGAGTATTTGTTCAAGATCAACTTTTTGTTTTTTTTTTGTTTAATCAATTCAGTAAGTATACTATCGATATCATACGTTCAATACATTCATCAATCTTTTTCTGATCTGTAACTTGTTGATCTTCTGTTGTATATTGAAACATGAGCGCAACCATTGTTTAAAATTGTTCAACTAAATTACTCAATGGTAAAACAATTAATTTCGATTTTGTAGTAGTATTAATTATTGTTTTCTGATTCTTCATTTCTTTTTTTTCTTTAGATTTTAATTCTTTAATTTATTTATTGATAGAATCATTACAATTAATACAAAGTGATAAAAGAATTTTATCAATATTTTCAAGTAGAATTATTTCATCAACAAGTTTATCAATTTTGTTCATTTAGTTTTAAATTGATTTAATATTTTATTTTATTTTTCTGTATGTAAATAAATTTTTTGTTGTGTAAACGATATGATACTTGTCTTTTCTTTTTTTTTCCGTAGAAAAAAATCAAAATGATTCGTTCTACTTTTATAGTGTCTGTATTAACATTGATGAGTATCATCAGAAGAAGAAAAGACAAGCAAAAAAAAAAAAAGTCACAGAAACTAAAGATAAAACATATTGAGATGCTTACGTATACATTCATACGAAAAGAATATACTTAATAACATTAATAAGAATCATTTTCTGAGTATTCATTATCAAAAATATTCATAATGATGATGATCATGCATTTTCTAATATTTGAAGTAATATAATATTATTAGAAATTTTTTTTTTTTTTTATTGAAAAAATAGAAATAAAAACAAAAAATTTTGGAATATCATTAGAATGAGTTTTCTATTAAAATAAAAGAATTACATGTACAAATGAATGAGTAACATAAAATTATTCATCTACAAAAAAAAAACCAAATTCAAGTAAGTCATATGAAAGACAAACACATGCATATGTTATACTATAGGTTTTTATTATTTGTGAAAGTATAATATCTTTTTTTACTTGATTAATACTTAGTGCATATCAAAAGTCTTTACGGAGATATAACAATATCTTATTGAATGTTTGAAGAAATTTTCTTTTTTTTTATGTAGTGATAGAGAAAATGATGCTCTACTTTTCTGTACTATTTGATGTATCTCTTTAACCTTATATCATAATAATAAAATTTCGATAAGAACTGTTTTTGTGTAAAATTTAACTAACGGATGCGACAAATTAAATATTTTCAATCATTTAATACATTGTATTAAAAAAAAACAAAATATATCACAACATACAACATGAAAAGCTCTGCAATTTACAAAGTAAAGCTTATTTTAATTGTGTAATTCTCGTCAAAGAAACTAAAATTCTGTACGATCAATTTTCACCGCTTCGAAAAAATTATGCCAAGAGAAATTTCCTTTTTCTTATTTCATATATACAATAAACTATTCTTTATAAGTTATAGATCTTTTCATGCTACATCTTGTAGTATATTTTATTTTTTAATACAATATATTTAATCTGTCGCACCTGTTAGTTAAGTTTTACACAAAAACAATTCTTATCGAAATTTTATTATTATGATATAAGGTTACAGATAGATCAAATAGCATAGAAAAATAGAGCATCGTTTTCTCTATCACTACATAGAAAAAAAGAAAATTTCTTCAAACATTTTATATATCTCCGTAAAGACTTTTAGTATGCCCTAAGTATATTAGAACATACACGAAAAAAAAAATGATATCACAAATATAATTTGAAATATTAGTCTATGATCAAATATTTCTAATGATGATAAATAAGACTAATTCAAGATATGAATGTTTTGTTATTATTCAATTTTTGTTTGATACTTCATTATTATTCTTAATGTTAAATAAAATACTTTAAATTAAATTATAATTTAACAATATTCATTAGAATTATTTTATATTTAAATGAAAATCAATTTCCTATATGTTTTGTAATTATTAGAAAATAAAGTTCATAAGTGGTATCGTGATTATTAATGATGATTGTACTTAGTAAAAAAAAAAACATTCAACAATCAGGAATCTATAATTATATACTAAATGCTATTGTATTTTTATCTACATGCAATGTTATCGTTTTTTGTTTTTTATAGTGTGTCTCTTGTTGAACCTCTTTTTGTGCACGACAATAATAAAAAAATCAAATTTCTAAGATAAAATTTCTAACTTCTATTACAATATACAAATTTTTAAGTATTATTTTGAATTTTTTTAAGTTACAAACAACAAATAGTATTTCAATAATTTGAATTTTTTTTTTCTTCTCTACTAAAATA